CCCCAAAACCCCAAAACCCCAAAACCCCAAAACCCCTAAAGGGTGTTTAAGAGTTGAAATTTAAGGTTTTTGGATATGACTAACAGAAGCAAATAAAATTTCTTCTGCATAAGAACTTAAATCATTATTGAGATATTTCTTCCTGATTCTTTCAGGGACTAACTTAAGCTCTTCTTGGGCATTTTGAAGCATCAGCTTGATGTTCTCATTTGTACCAGCAAATGCAATGTCAAGAGGACTTTGATTGAAAAGGTCTCGGATCTCTACTGAAGGTTTAAAATGTAACAATATCCTCAAGCATTCGGTTTCTTCTCTAATTACTGCCCAGTGGACTGGAGTTCTCCCCATAGAGTCTGAAACATGAACTAGATTTGGATTCTTCATTAGTGTTTTATAAAGGATCATTTCTTTACCCATTTTGACAATGTTTAAGAAATCCTTAATTTCTGTCTCATCAAACTTTATCTTTGTTGACTTGAATCTTATCTTGTTGTCTTTCAGATTCCTGGTTGCAAAATGATAAGTATAATCCTCCAGATGCGTGGCTTCATCTAGAGTATTTTTTAACTGCTTATGGATCCTATCAAAATAAAACTGGTTTTTGTTCTCCTCTTGCTCTGGAGAAACTGCTCTCATAGACTGGATCTCTTCGTTTTTGGGTGGGAACACGCTTCTAAATATGTTATAATTAGATCTTACATATGATGTCTTGTTCTCTTGATCTCATTTGCAGGGGAGATCTCTCTACAAAGAGTCTGTTTGGCTGTATCTGACCTCATTACTCTTTCTGGATCTTTCTTGCGAAGACTCTTAAAATATTCTGTTAGAATCTGCTCTTTTCTATCTTCTATTCTTATTAAAAGAATTTCCTACTTCCTGGTTTGAATCCTAACTGTCTTAGTCTCTTCTGTGTACTAGAATTTGTATAAGAATGTGAAATAATTTGGGGCAAGAATAATAAAATCAGTTATCTTAATTATTCCGTTAATAATGAAGCAATCAATTATGACTCTACATCTGTAATATTTGATGCCCTGATAGTTCTGGCTTATAATTCACATATGAGAAAAATGTTCAATTATTATGAAAATAACATGTAGGCTTTTCAAAACTGACAACGAACACCTAAGCTTTTACCCACTGAGATGCGATTTACCTTTTAAAAATAGACTTTAAAGTCAGCTTTGGCTTAATTAACACAGCTTTGGCAGGCCTCAGCTTGCTTGACTTCGAATGTGAATTCTCAGAGTTACTAAACTTATCTAAAAAATTATCCAAAATGTATACTTTTCTTTATCATTTCTTTGTTAATGAGTAAGTGGTCTTTATGACTGAATATCTGGGATCTCCGATGAGGCTTCTGCTTCTTCTTTCGGGGATCTACTGTCCTGATCTGAGCATCCTGAGAGTTACGGTACTCTATCATTGCTTTGCTTGTTTCATATCTCATTGGGAAGATTGCCTTACTTAGAAATTTCTAGAGTTTTAGGAAGGCCTTACTTTTATTATCCTTTAAAATATCAAAGTTCTTAATACAAAGCTTGAAGTTGTTCATGTAGGTTAAATTTGGATCTTCAATTTCTTTTGTAAATGTCTTTGTCTCAAAGGTCTTTGGATAGAACTGGGTATGTGTAGCTCTGCCTACTATACTCTGGACCTTCCCATTAACAACAGGTAAACTCTCGGTTATAGGGGAAGTAGGGTTTGTGTGATGAGTTCTGATTCTTTTAACCCTATCTGTTTGCATAAATTGGTTTCTGTTGGGATTTCCAATTATTCTATGCTAGATAATGAGTCTTAAGCCTAACTTACATCCTTTTTCCTCATCCTGATCGTGATATAGCCAAGATCCCGATGCGTTTGTGTTCCATTTCTTTTTTTCTTCTTTCCCATGTTTATAAATATTTATGTAATAAAATAAAGCCAGGGGTTTTGGGGTTTTGGGGTTTTGGGG